ATGTCCATTCAAATAAAAAAAAGATTCGTGAGGAAATTACCCATTTCAGAGGTAATTATTATCACCAATCAATATTTCGCATTAGTTAGCAGATTAGGGGGTGAAAAGTTTGAGCTGGGACACACTGTTTGATATATTAACGCTTGAGAAAGTTATTGTATAGCAAAACACGAGTCGCGGTTTTTGTAAAACCCTTCATAGTGAAAATCATACAAAAATTGTATTATTGAGTTTCACCAGTACCTTCATTGAACTATTCTAGAATGTATTTTGTATAACAGTAGTTGATCACAGAACTTATTAGATGAATGGTTGAATCAGGTTGATTGGATCACTTCTAGAAAGATAGGTAAAATATTGGCATTTTATGTCAAAACTCGATAAAACAAATGGTTGATTCGGTCAAAACAGGTCGATATTGGAAAAACAATTGATTCAATATTACCCATAGGTAAACAGTTGATTTGTAATTCTGTAGGTATGTAGCTGATTTGTATTGAAATAACTCTCATATATATAATAGGATTTTGATATTGAATGCCAAAATTTCTCTCACTTGTTCTAGAAGTATTATTGTATTATTATTTTTTTTCTTCAATATACGTTTCTCATCAGATTCAATCATTTATCCAATGAGTTTGATATACCAGTAGCTGATGAAGCCACCGTATAGCAAAACGTATAGCAATCATTTATCCAATGAGTTTCATATACCAGTAGCTGATGAAGCTACCGTATAGCAAAACGTGTCTTACATGAAATTTATTGTGAAAATTCTTTTATTATTATCATAGATGGTTTTTTTGATTTTTATCAAGTAACGAGTCAGACTATTCATACACACTTTATTTGAAAAGATATGTCCACTCTTTTCCTGCAAAGTGATTTTATATTCGATTCACTGTGAGAGAATCAATTCCACTAATCATTTCGTCTGTCAAATGAAACTAATCCCAACTCCACGCTATTGTTGAGGCACCCAACTTGTTGCATTGCTCCTACTCGACAATAGAAAGATATTTTATTCAACGTATTTGGTATTGTTCAAAGTTATGGCGATGAAAGCAAAGCTTCCTGACGGGTTCACTATTCGCAAGCTCACTGTGCCTCGAAAAGCGACGATTCGCATTCGATATAGTTTATTAATAGTTTAGTGTTCTTGTCCTGGACTCAAATTTTGTCAGAGCTGTTTATGAAAGTTTCTATGTCGATTTGTGATAAAACAAGGTAATAGTGACTAAATTTTGTGCTAGGTTTCACCTCCGATAAGTTGGATAAGTATAAACAATGATGAAATTATGTGTGAGCCGATGTTTCTCCTATCAGTAATATCGCAGTATGTTCGGTCGTCAGCTACTATATGAAATGGCCCTTGTTTCTGTTACTTCTTATTCTGCAAGTTACCTCAAAGAATTGTTTCAACTATTTATACTATTTTCATAACAAGTCAAGAAACAATTTTTCTGAATACGTTGAAAAAACGTCTGATCACACCGTAATGAGGTTTTCGTAATACGTTTTTTTTTTTGGGAAGTTCACTTTCAATTTCCGACGTTGTATGATGATGAAATAATATGATTCATATGTACGTCTTATACGATGAAAATTTTGGGTATGGTAAACAGCGTCATAAAAACATCATGGAAAATACGCATAGAATATGTATTTCAAATATATTAATACTTCTCATTGAACTCATGGAAGAAGGATAAATTTAACGGTTATAATATATTATGACTTCGAAAACAAATTTGCTTTCCCACAACCCAATTTCATTTTCAAGCAATATATAGCTAGTTCTTTTTTGTAAAAGGAATCATGCTGAATAAATAATGGTGAAAACTGAGCATTCTACTTCGTCCGGGAATGATCATTCAAATCTTTGTTGCTTTAGCGATGTTTCACTACAATCCAGCCTCATTACTCTCCACAAAAGATTGAAGCCGCGTCTTCATTCTGTGACCGAGATCGCTCCAGGCATTCATTAGCTTCATTTCTAGGGCTTTTCAACTCTAAAACACATAAAATTCCTGCCACTTTTTATTCTCTCTATCAAGTGGTGTCGTAAAAATCACTTTTTTATCATCTTGTCTGGTTGAGAGGGTGTTATATAAACATCCGTGGGAAATAAATTGCTGGTTTCTGTGTCTTTGTGTTCCAAAAGAACGTGAATATTTTTTTCAGCAATTATTGTTGTCATGAAATGAATGTAGGTGGGAAAGTTATTTTTTATGTGAAGTTGATACGTGTTTTTTAGAATTATATTGGGCTAGTAATGACTTAGTATTTGCCACAGACAGTTTGTGTTGACACAAACACAAACGCTCGATTCCAAGTACATAATTCATCGTAGTAACTATCAATGAATATTGGAAACTGGTTTTCTGAGAAGAGTGGATTTCTCTCATCCTTCTATTACACCCATTTCAACAATCTTGTGTCCTGTAATAGGTTGAACAGGTTCCTTTATGAATCTTTGTCATAATTCATTAGATATAATGTGGGTTATCCATAGATCTCTTTCCTCACATTCGCATGAGATATTACGATCAGTTTCTGCCTCTTTGTTGTAATGTCTGCAGTTGAGGTCTCTGTTGTATGGCCATATCTCATTCAGGTGATATTTTAGTGAGTAACTCTCCAATCTGGTTCCATTTCAAAGATTTCAGTAACTCCACAGCTAGTTCAGGGCTCATATATGAAGTTGATTGTCTGTCTGACACACGCATCAGTTTTCACTTCTGTTCAAAAATCTGTTTAAGAACTGTTTTTTCGTTAACTTGACATTCAAATATCTTTTGATATTTGTGTCAGGGCACCCAGTATGGAGTCAATCGATTCTTGTCCGTCAGTTATCTCAGTTCTTCACGGCATTGCTAGATTCAGTGCCTGCCTGCCTGAGAACTTGATTCAGTTTATAAACACAGGAATGATATCAATAATAATGAGGTGGCAATAGGTATTGATGAAATCTGGCTACTTGTCCTTAACTGTACACATATAATGTCTACTAATCCAATTGAGAGAAACGAAGCCTCGCCCTGGGAAAAGGATGTATTTCCTTGTGGAACTTTGTTGTTTTATTTTACATTGATGATGAAAATACAACATTTTTTGGTCGAATATTGAGATCAGAAAAAAAAGTGTCCGCTAATTACTGAACTGAAGAGCTTATAAGTGAGTAAACTTTCATGAGCGTCAACTTTATTTGTGAGAATTGTATGATGTATAGTCGGAGTACACTTTTACATGGAAATGAACCATGTTACGGTGATGAATAGAATGCGGAGATGGTTATCGCCGTCGTGTTCTGTTCAGGAACTGATCGCGATTCGAGTGTTGAAACTCGATAATATTGCAGTTATAATTACTTATATAATTACTGTTTGAAACGTGGCGTCCTTGGACAAGTACTAATAGTAATAACGATTGTGATAACAAAGCAGACTGTTTCCATTGTAGTGATGGTGAACAATGCGAAAAAGAGATTCCAGTGAATACGATTCACATGCATTCGAATATTGAAATACAGAGAGTATGTTTCAAAGTGTATAAAAATCTACATCTCAAGTTTGATTTCGAGGGAAACGAACTATTACCAGCAACATCAGGTTTGACCAAAATTCCTTTCTCAACTGTACGTAAAATTGTGAAAAACAAAACTTATGAACGCAAGACGCAGTGTGATATAAGATTTAGATATTCATCTAATAAAATCATTGAGAAAACAATATACAACTGTTACAAAAGCAATGAGATTCCTTCAACTGAAATCATTAGAAAGAAATTGGATACTTCTGGTCATAACGTGAGCTGCTGTGACAAAACTCTCCAGAATTGGTTAGAGAAACTGGGATTTTGATTCAAAATAATAAACAAACGTCGAGAATGTGTACGCCTGACATGCTTGCAAACAAAGGATCGCGACTAATCATTGTGCATTGCGGAGGAAGTAAAGGATGGGTTCCGAACTCTCTGAAATTATGTGGAAAAAAACTTGAGGACTGCAATGGTGACTATCATAAGAACACGAAAGCTAATATTTTCGAGAAATGGTGTGAAAACACAATGATCCCAAATTTGGATGCAAACAGTGTAATAGTTCTTGACAACGCTTCCTACCAGGAGAGATGAAATACAAAGTTTTTTAATGGATGACAATTTGTATTTTGAAGATAACTATACCAAAAACCAACTACTTGAAGTTCTACAGGCAAAAACATTTGAAAAAGTGTATGCGCCCTTGAGAGTATTGCTGAAAAGTATAGACACACCATACATAGACTTCCCCTCTATTTTTGTGTTTTCAATCCCTTCGAGTTGATTTGGGGAAAATTGAAACGAATCATCAGGCCTAAAAATAATTTTGCAAATTTTGAAGCTAATAGAGCTAATCAAAGAGGAAGTATCTTTATATAACAATTCCTTGGAGTTGTTATTTGGGATAGCAGCGAAGCGCAAGTGTACTCTTATAACATTATATTTCCAATTTTTCGACAATGGTTATTGTCATCATCAGGGAGCTAAGATGATAGATTTTGAATTAATCAATTTGAATCAAAGACAACTCATTTGACATTACTTAAATTCATTTATCAACTTATTAACAAAAATTATACAACAAAACTCTTTCTTCTAGAGGCAACTGTAATTCTATGATTAATTACACCAGCGGCAAATGCCAAGTCTACCTCTTCTTCAAAATTTTAATAAATTGACAAGTGATGTGTTTCTAACCTAAGATCACCACGTTCATTCTCAAATTAAATTTTTTTTTATGATTATTCCTCATTTAACGTATATATATTGTAGCTTTCACTTAATTCATATGTCTTGTGATTTTACAGTTGTTACGTGTTTTTATCATGATCACAACGTTCATATTTCAATTTTAACTCAACTCAATTTTCACTTGAACTATACATGCCATCATTTGCGGAAAATAGGTATAGAATGAATATTTGTGAAATTGATAATCACGTAATTGGTGACACACTTACCATTGAGAATGTGCACGTATGTGCTAGCAGGTTGCGCATTACTGGGAACACAGGAATAGTTTCCTGAATGACGAGTGGCTGCATTTGTTATTGTCAGAGTACTCGTTTTCTCTGACAGATCAGTTGTCACATTTATCCCTCGGTCCACATCATAGTTGATCATACGGTTGTTGTGGTACCAGAAAACATAGGAAGGAGGCTGGAACAAAACGACCGTTTAGATTAGGTGATAATATTATGAGTTTCTGCATGACCTGATAAACAATCAGTATCAGTTGAGAAGGAGAAGTATCATCGATTCTCTGGATGTAAATATATGATATGGATGAGTATTTTAATAACGGTGATGATCAATTATTTGGAAGAATCAAAATTGTATTCTACTTTCTTGGTGAGTCCATTGAATTAAAAAAAAACTGAAAATTTTCATTTATTTATTTACTTTTTCATATCGACGTACTGGTGTATCTGAAGCCTTGGCAAGCTCAAGACCCAGGTTTTCAGTTTATTTTTTAATGGATTGTTACTCCTGGTATTTTTCATATAACGTGGGACAAGATTATATAATCCAGGAGCTAGTATGAGTAAGATTTTTGAAAGATGTTTTTCCTTGAATTTGGAACATATGGATTATTTTTGTGTCGAGGTTCAAATTGGTGTTCTATTTTCCCTAATTCATGTCTATCAATATGTTGTCTCATTATAGTTTTGAGAAAATGAAGTTGTCTGATGTCTAGAATTGATGTTCCTACACATAACGAGTCGGTAGTGTATGCTATTTTTTTGAGGTGGATTGTTTTCTATACTGATTTTTGTGCTTGTTCTAGGTGATTCAGAAAAGTTTGCTGCTCCCCAAGCGATTATTCCTTATGTGATATGAGTTTAGAACAATGTCTAATATAGCATTCGCATCTGGGCTGTTTGTAGGTATGGTCTCACGTATTTTAATCTATATGTAACGAATCGTAGTTTTTTGACTAAGTAATCAATATGTGCATCCCATTTTAGATGAGCGTCAATATATATACCAAGGTATTTCAATTTATCTACTGATGAAACGGAAAGTTCTACGTCATCGTATTTTATTGAAAGTGATTTGAAATCTGGTAGATTCTTGGCGTACGAAGTGAAGGTAATGTAAAACATTTTGAATATATTTAAACTCAATAATTTACTTTCGAACCATTTAATTATCGTTTTGAAACTTTTTTCTGCTTTTTGTGTGAGGAAATATCGTTCAGGTAGATGTTGGAAAGTAGCGGACCCAAAACAGTTCCCAAGATCACTCTTCGGGTCTTTAATTTTGACACATTGTTTTCTTTGATTCAGATAACTGCACAGTAGTGAGTACGGTATACCCCTGAATCTGATGGCAGTATCAAAAGCTTTTTCAAATCTACGAATATCCATAGGAATGGTTCATTTTCAACTACGTATTTTGAGTATTGTGATGCCCGAAGATGCTATCGTATAGCGAAAAAGATGTTGCAATTTTTCGAACTTTCAAGTTGAATTCTCACATTGAATCGTGTTTTGTGAATACGTCATAATGGATTTTCATCAAGTGTTGGTCAGTTCTATAATATTTTTGGCAGAAAGTTTGATATTTTTTTTTGAGAAACTGGGTTAACTTCAAAAAATATTTCATTTCGTACTATTTTATTGCTTTCTGTGTATTGCTTAGTGTGAAAAAACATATCGCAGAGTTGACTGCAAGACAAAATGCTCTTCGCAAAAGCTCGAAAACACTTGAAGTTTGTTCATGAAAGAAACCAATACGGAACTTCCAACCTTGAAGGCGAAGGGTTGTTTCCATTTCTTCACAGTAAGTAGGATTTTAATGACACTTCATTGAAAATGGCTTTCTATTACATATCTATTGCTGATTTGAAATGCCAACTGTAGGTTTCTGAAAAAATGTTGATTTTTTTCAACAAAAACCTAGCGTATCAGCTGAATGTCAAAGGTTATTACTCTAAGGAACGGCAGTTTTGATTTTCAGAAAATTCAGATGAATATAATCTGTCTTGTGAATTATGTTGTTGCTATAGAGTTACTAAATTCCCGAAAAAACAGAAATTATTGAGCTGGATTTTGAACAGAATAAATATGGAATCCGAATTACCGAGCCATTCAGAAAAGCCTCAATCAGAAATAAACCCTCCTATAATCCGATACTCTGAAGGAAATCAAATAAGTATGATTATTTTGGTCATACTAGTACCAAGATAACTGATATTTCAAATTATATCTGAAACATTCTCATCAGTCAACGTTGTTTCTCACTGTCTGTTGTAATTGTAATTGTGAACGAGTTGATTTTCTATTGAGGTTTACTGGATATGAATGACGACTCAATCCAAAAGCATAACTGCATAATTGAGATGACTACAATATAGCATTTTCGGAGGAGCAGGTGAGGACATTCTGCTAATTTGAAAAAGTTCATCTTTCAGGCTCACAGTCCGTTGCAAATCCAAGCTTCGGAATTGATCACCGAACGACACCGTCCCCTGTCTTTTTTTTTTAATAAACATTATTTATCAGTGATGCTTCATCACCTCCACATATTCCAACTCGTTTGTTATACTTGAGTGTAGCAATGCCATCGTGATTCAGCCAAGCACCACTGATTAGATCTCAGATAGGTAGATACAGCAGCACTGATGAAACCTATGATTGGTCGAAAAGGCACTGTCTGGTATTGGATCACATATGCTTCGTTTTTTTGGCATTGCAACAGACTTTTGATCGGCATTTATGGTTCAGCCTAGCACCACTGATAAAGTCCATGATGAGAAGAAATGGCGTTGAATGATGTATGATCATGAAAGCTTGATTTTTGGGCTCTATTTCAGGTTAACCCAAGAGTGTGAAACAAAATTGAGTCACTCTGAGTACGTGGCCAAAAGGAGTCAAGATATTCTATAAGTTCGACACGAGACAAATATATTATAATCGAAGGTACTGGAAGAATGAAATGAAGACAACCAACAATATGGGACCACGCCCGAAGAAGCCATTCATTGTATGGCGATACACGTATCGAATTATTTTTGTAAAACCGTTTAGTAAAAATCTCATAATGAAGTGTTTTTTGAATACACCACTTTTTTCTACGTGGCCAAAAGGAGTCAAGATCTTCTATACGTACGAATATGTATGTTCAGCTATATACCAATCGTCGTACTTTGAACATTCAAATGTTTAGATGATTAGAAAGAAATTTGAGGAACTATGGTGCAATTGACAGAAAGAAAAACAAAAAAATTTGTGGTTACTGTAAGTGTGCGGAATCAAATAAATGTTATAGGTAAGCAAACATTACCACATAAAAATTCACACATGAAATCATTTTTTTTTAAATTTACGATTGACCAGCTGAAAAAATTATGCTAATCAAAATTGTTCTTTACGAAAAATTGCCCATGAAATAGAAACTCATGTAAAATTCACCAGAACTATTAAAAAAACAAATATAAATGCTACACCTCAATGAAAATGGAATACGGGAAGAGAGTACGATTTGCGAAGTGGTTAAGACGTATAAATAGGGAAGTTGGAAATATTTGTAAAAAAATAATATGGAAAGACGAATCAGAATTCACCAACAATTGTTGGTTTAACAGAAATATCCATTCTAGGTGGAAAAATACAAATGAACATTTACATATGGAAACCAATTTCCAAGAAAGGTTTGGAACAGTTGTTCAGTTGAGAATTGTGGAAACAAACATTCTTGGCCCTTTCTTTCACGATGAGCATTTGAATAGTGAAATGTATCTTCATTTTCAATTCAATGAATTCTATTGCTACTTAAATGAATTGACACTGAATATCCGCCATGAAATACAATATTTTCAACGGGACAGCACTCCTTCCTATAATACAGCAATAGTAAGGAAACATTTAGATGCAATATTCCCAAGAAAATGGATTGGAAACAATGGACCAATTAACTGGCCAGCTCGATCCCCAGTTCTTACTCCCTTGGATTTTTTCGTCTAGGGATACCTAAAGGATACAGTTTTTTTAACACCAAGTTCAGATATCGACCATCTCAAACAAAAATAAGAGATGCATGTATTATGTTAGAAAATTGCCACAGTAATTATTTGGACCGACAACTTATGTGCATTCAACAAAGAGATCGTCAATTCGTGCATTTTATTGTAGATTGCCATGTAGCTATGATTTTCCGTTGTGGCTTCATTTTTCCCAAAATTTCATGATGAAATAAATTGTTTTCATGTTTGATTGTTGTCACTGATGATGGTGGTGATTCCAAAGGAAACGTTATAACAATATCAAACGTGACATACCATTGGATTGTGAATTTATCGCTTTATTAATATCTGTAATAAAAAAGACAGGTCCGTAATTAAAAAAAGAAGTTGATGGTGGCCATATCTACACGAAAAGTTCTATCGATTATTTATTATTACATCGTCATAGTACACTTTGAATACAATAACATTTTCTTTTTCAATTTTTTAATTCGAAAAAGCTGTGTTTTATTATGAACAGTCGTCAAAATTTCGTGTTCATATTGAATATAAATGTAATATGAATGCAATCTTTGTTTATTACTTTCAACTGTCAGTCACACAATTTTGAAGAATAACCTTAGTAATACATACTGACGGATTTCGGCTGATGTACAGATTTTATCCCAACCAAAATCATCCTGCTGACAAGTAAACACATTGGTATGATACATTTTGCATTCGAAATCGATACAATTCGACTGGGGACAGCAGCCGACATGTTCCACCCCACGTTCCAATAAACAAAGACCACTGAAATAATTTGTTCAGTGCATGCCGTCACTCGCGTTTGAACCGACATTGTTCGACGTGGTTTGAGGTGATTAGTCAGTACCGTGGAATGATGGTTTTGTTTAGGGTATGAGAATATACGGTGCAAATTGAATTCAGTTGCCTTTGAGCCGAATTCACTGATGTATTTTGTATTGACATAATGAGAAAATGAATATACTCACTCACTATGCATTCATTTAGAGCAGGGGTCTCCAAACTTTGAAGCCTTCGGGCCATAATGATTTTCTCAGTTTGTTCCAAGGCCAATTTCTACCTTTACCTATATTTCTAAACTAGGATAGTCGCAAAGTGCGTGACCTAAGCAAATTTACGCTTTTTTTGCATTTCAATTATTATTGTGTATTGTAACACTTAACGA